TTCTCTTGCCTCAGCCTCCCAAGTAGCTGGGACTACAGGTGCCTGCCATAGCGCCCAGCTATTTTTTTGTTGTTGCAGTTGGCCTGGGCCAGGTTCGAACCTGCCATGCCAATTATTTTTTGTACCTGTCTCTTAGGCATTGTAAGGAACAGCCACAACATTGCAGTCAAACTCGCCGCCAAAGTAATTTATCCTCATTTCTTTCTCCTCCACTCCTTCATGCAGCGTCTGCAAGCATTTGTGTGTTTGTATTTGTGTGGGTTTGGGAGTCTGTCTCTGGTCGGGGAATACGCTCAATGTTTCTTCTGAAAGGATATCAGAGGAAAAAGATTTCTGGGCATCACACTACCATTCCACCTACCCGTCTGATTGACTCTCTTATTTTAAGCTTTATTTTAATAGAAGACTTTTAATAGCACTGCTTTTATGATTTAAATGGACTTTGAAACTGGGACTTAGCCATATAACAAAGTGGGTGGACTTCAGACTTCAGAGGAAAAAGAATAAACGTATTGAAAGCTGTAATTAAAATGTTCCATTTTCCTTCAAGCTCTCTTAAAGCAATTATTGTCAAATTTGAAGTCACCAGGGCCCAAACTCAAACCTGAAGCTTTGGGAAAAGACTACTATGCAAGGGTGGGAGGAAGGAGTTGAAATGTTTTTGGTAGGAACACAGTTCCACTGGGGAAGAGTACAAACGCTGATGTGTATTAAATGGGAAATACAGCCAGGCTTAGAGAACTGAGGACCCAGCCAGCCATGAGAAGCCTGGATTCCATGACCGGCCGGCCCTTTGGCCCCAGGCACGGCTTTAGCTCGCAAGGGCCCAAATGGAGGAGTTTACAAAGAAGGTGTAAAGAAGCAGGTCCCAAAGAAACAATGAAAAGAAAATTCTGAAACAGAACAACTTGGACATAAAGGGTGAAGGCCAGGCAGATGTCACAGGTGACCAAGGAAACGACAACTCTATTCACCAGTTCTCCAAGCCCCAAACTTTACATGATTTTGGCTCTCTTTCGTCTTACACCCAGGGGCAGAAGCCAAGGATTATGGGCCCTGAAGCGAATACTAAGAGGGATAGGGTTGGTTTTTTTTTTTTTTTTTTTTTTTTTGAGACAGAGCCTCAAGCTCTCCCCCTGGGTAGAGTGCCATGGCATCACGCTCAAAGCAACCTCCAACTCCTGGGCTCAAGCGAGTCTCCTGCCTCAGCCTCCCAAGTAGCTGGGACCACAGGCGCCTGCCACAACGCCTGGCCATTTTTTGGTTGCAGCCATCATTGTTGTTTGGTGGGCCCGGGCTGGGGATTCGAACCTGCCACCTTAGGTGTATGTGGCTGGCGGCTTAGCCGCTTGAGCCACAGGCGCCCAGACAATAGGGCTCTTAAAAATAAAACTCTTTGGTGGGGGGGGGAACTTCCCCTAAATGGTTGAAGCATAGTTAGGGGACCACTAAATCCCAGCTTTGTTCACACTGCCTTTCCATAGATTTTATCTTCAAGAACCCAAACTGTTTCCACTCGCACTCATTCTGGCCCAAACTGCCTTCACTTCTCACAACTGAAATGGCCTTCCACCCACATGGGAGCCCCTATCCAGTGGCTTCATACCATAGCACCCAGAGTTAGATGGTGTCCCTGATTAGTTCCAAACCCTCCGCCTCTGTCCCCTGTCATAGTAATATATATAGGCCTTATTTCTGCTCTGTTTTATCCAAACAGACACTCCAGAACCCGTGGGCCAAATTTCCTCTCTCTTCTTACTCAGCTCTCACCACCCAGGATCCGTTGCTGATTTTGGAACCTGCTAAACTGGCTTCTGGGCCTTTGCATACCCTCCCCTGGAATCTTCTCCTTCGCATCTGTATCTGAATGTGACCTCACCAGAGCACCTTCCTACATCACTCTCTATGAAACAGCAGCACCCACATGCACCCAGTCCTCCTCACTCTGGAGATTTTGCTAAGCCTTTTTCTCTTTTGTTATATTATCCATTTGTTTATTTTCTGACTCTCAGCTTCCAGACCCAAAGATAGGGATTTGCCTTTATTCACCACTACAGACCTAGGAGTAGAAAAAGGCACTTCATTGTGGAAAGAAGGAAGGTGAAAATGCGTGAGCTGTGAAATCAGGTTAATTATGATGTCATGGATGGAGGAAGATAAATTATTCGGGGAAGGGGAGAGGATGGAATTCTTTCTGTCAGACAAACTTCAAGGGACAGAAAATTTTCTTAAATTATTATACGTGGTGAATAATGCCGGTTGATGGAGAAAAAAGTAAGCTCTAGGCGTTATCCACCATCAACAAGACTTTTACAAAGCTTTTGGACCCGGTTTGCTAAAAGTCACCTGAATTAAAGTGGACTAATTCTCCAATCAAGCTTGACTATCTTTTATGACATGTTTATCTTCCTTTCTTTCATTTTTCCAACTAGGAAGAAAACCGTCACGAATTGTTAGAACAGTTTTCTCTCAAGAGCTTTTTCTTAGACGGAGAACGCATAATTAAGCTGGTCATCCACTCTGCTTGCGATTTCCTTCTAAGTATGAGGTGGCAAGGAGCCCCCAGGTTCCGCTCCTTCTTCCTTCTCCAGGTCTGTCCAGGGGAAGAGAGCTCTGGGGGGAGATACAGAGAGGGCGCCACTGCAACCTAAGGTATTAGAGTTCAAATGTGCAATCCCTACTTATGGATCGTTGCGAATAAAATACAGTCTGCGACCCAGGAAAAACTGGGATGCGCCCGGCCCACTTCTTCGCAGGATGCCACGCTCTCTGGGCGGCCAGCCAGCTGGAAATGGGAGTCTGCGGTGGACTTTCCCCTTACCAGGAGGGTCAGAATTTTTTCAGCTGGGGAGGTCTCTTGGTGTTTGGGGATACAGGTCTTCCAAATTAGGGCTTTTGAAAGCCTCTATTTACCAGAAGACGAATGTTCTGCTTTCAAGGGTCTAAACGGTGGCCCCCGGAGAGCACGTCTGCCCCGGAGACGGCTTCGGCGCTGGTGGTGTCTGATCAAGCTCTAGGGGGTGAACGCTGCAGAGTCAGATGCTCATTCATTCAACAAATATTTATTACGCCCCGCTGAGTGCCAGGCACTGGCGGTGCCCGGGGCGAGAGGCAACTTCCTAACTCCGTCTGGCCGCCCCGGGGCCCGGCGCGCGCGTGGGAGCGCAGCCCGCAGTGGCGGCCGCCCCGCCCGGGTGTGCCCCGCGCCTCCCGCGCGGCCCCCAGGGAACCCGCCCCCCGGGACCAGCCTGGGGCGTGAGCCGGCCGGGGAAGGAGGGGAAAAGCAAAAGACAGCCAGAGCCCACCCGGGTCGGGCCCGGG